TCCCTACATTGAACATAATGAAAGAATAACACTTCTACTCACCGCTGGGCCCCATCTGGGTCCTCGTGTCACCCAACAAATCTCAGTCTTGCACATAGAACAGCGCAGCCAGTCACAACCCCACTTCTTCATCAGTACTACTTGGCATGTAGGGCAATTCATTGCTTCTCCTCGTTCAACCATTTCCTAAACACACAACATTCAGAAAGTTTGATCGCTTGTAAACAATTTTAAGTAATGGAAACTGAACAAAGAATTGGAACCAGATACAAGCATACATCTCCTTACCTCCAACATCTCTTTTGTTCGGCGAGCTTCAGCATTAGTTTCAGATTCCTGCTTTACTTGCTCCTGATATTGTTTGCAGTTCACACCATCATGGATTGCCTGCAATGTTATAAAATTAAATATACAAGGTATATTTTCATTTGCTTAATTTGACAAGATCATGTAACCACATGCACGTACAAAATAATTTGTATTACATGATGTTTATCTTTATCATCAACATCATTATACATTACATTGAAATCAAGTGAACTGGAGCACAAATATTTGTCCATTTCACTAATATAAATAAAACATATGATTCTAAAATACTTTCCAGCCCAGTAACAGTTAGTTGTGCACTTATCACCAAGTATCACAAAGTCTTTCTTGCTGTTATGCAATCTCAACTGCAGAGCTTACTTTTCACCATTATTATGAACATTCAAAACAGCTGACATTAAAGATACTGTCTAAATGGTCAAATGGCCATGATAAAGGATTTAACATTGCAGGTTTAAGATATTTATTCAAATTTTCTAAAGTATTTTTTATAACATTATTGCAAGAGAAAAATATACAGAACTGTATATTTTGTGTTAAATATAAATAAATGGTTACATTCAGTTGGCAGTATGTGTAACTAACTATATTATAAACATATGTAATTAATCAGTACTGGGGCAACTTTACTACTTAACATGCACTGAATCTCAATGAGTGGTATGTTGTAGGAGAGAGAGGCAGGGTACTATGTCATATGGCAAAGCAAAAAACGTAACATACAGCCTATGGTATTGTGAATCTACAATTCAAAATATTTAAAATGATTAATATATGTTCTTTTGGCTTAACATGTTATATGATACAATAATAAAATTGTATCTTGACATACGTATTATGCAATGCAGTAAAAAGCCACTAAAATTAACCTAAACAATTATGTGACATTTGTCAGTATAAAAATTGCTAACAAGTCTTTAAAAATACACCATTACATAAAATACATTATACCTGCGTGAAAATGTTACGTAATTCTACACTGACAGCATAACAAACAGAGTGCCTGTGATTATGTTATTTAATTTTAGTTCAGATTGTTCCATTAAAATTGAACAATAGTTACAACATCTTAAATATGTAAACAGTAACTTATGTCATTCACATATGCTGTAAATTATTCTGTCTGAATCCTTCCATCGATAGCTAATGCACATGTATGTCTCTGCTCTTCATGCATTTCTGTAATATGCATGCAATACCACCTTTAATTAATTTTGTTTCTGTGGGTCATTACCAACAGTGTTACATAATACTTGTTTTAACAATATGGGATTTTAAAAACATATATCTCCAACTACCCTTGCAGGCTTAGTTTTCAGCTGGCAAAATGTTGTCTGTAAAGCTCCCACAAAGAATAGCAGTACCAGCATGGCCAAATGATAATTCAGAATTTCTCTAAATAATACTGGCCAGCTTAAGGCAGTACTCTCAGTATGTTTCAGTGAATCTACATGTATGAAGCTTACAGTAATGTTGAGAGTGTGAAATGTTAATTTTGTTCAACCTGAAAATTGCACTTTCACTCAACTGATTACTAACGTGCCCCAAGGTAACTCACCACAACTGTTCTGTTTATTTCAGTTATCAAGTATTTATATAGCAGATGGATAGAAAATGAAAAATGTAGTGTATATGTAAAATTTGTATTAGTTCTGCATGTCACTTGTAATGAAGTTACAAGTTTCATAAAAAGTATGGATTAGCTAGGCAATTACCAGCTTCTCACAAGTAGATACATTCCAAGAGTTGGACTAAATATATCATTATGATATAAAGATAAAAATAAAACAAATAATATGACTTACCTGGCAAGTGAGACAATTTATTCTTCTGCAAACAGGGCATTTGAATTCATTGACATTATCTTCAAAAATGCACCATCCTCTGCAGTCAGGAGTTTTGCAATGGAATGCATTCCCTATCTTGTTTTCAGCTTGGGCTACAGATTTTGCTAAATGTTGTTCATATATATCTGCAGGAACTAACTGTGAAGCAAATAATTGGATTGTTAGCCTCACAAATTATTTGTAATAATGCAACAAATCTTCTTGTAACCGGTCATAGTTCTTGGAGAGAAATTTTGTCAACAATAGCCAGTGGAACGTCTGGGCTGTATCCTTCATCTGCCAGTCAGTTTTAGTAATACTTATCATGCAAGTTCTACTTCATCCCTTTTCCACACCTAACACCATAAAATGTAACAGAATCAAATGTTTCAAGCTGCACTTAATATACTAAGCATAGCATATAAAAGTAACTTAAGGGATAAGACTGAATCAAAATGGCCTACATCTTTGTCCTTTCACTTTTAATTTAACCTTATAGGAATTACATTCACAAAAATATAAGACACATAGTGGTCACAATGTCACTTACGGCTTTTATTTCCCTCTCTTGAAGTACACTATTACATGCATAATCTGCATCTCTATAAGGGCATTTCACTTCAGCTTCCTCATTAAACTGGACAGTATTTGCAAGACAAGTCCTGAAAATTAAGAAATAGGGATTGTATTGGTTTCTTGCTGTAGCATTCAATTAGAGAGCCTGTGTTGTTTGATGACTGCCTCATGTGTGCGTGTTATGAAACTTGGTATGAAGAATGTGCTACTGGAAGCAACACATTTTTGAATACCTTCAAAAATTCTGGTATGGTGGCCATACAATCTCTGAGGTGAAGCAACAATACACCATCTAATATAAGATCCTGGCATTCTGAACAAGTATTTGAAAATTTTAATTTGTTTTGGAATCTTCAGTGTGGTAACTTTTGACAGAAAGGAAATATACAAATCATGTAACATGTTGCCTACTTTCAAATTTCATTGGAGAAATAGATGCTATGTAGCAAAAATGTGAAATATGGAATGAAAAGAGGTCATTAACATATATACAATTCTGTACAAACATTTTTCATAATGGAAAAATACCAACATTAAATCATCATGTTTAATATGATAATGTGTTGCAACACAAATCCTTCAGTTATTTTAGTTGACTGCAGACTTGTTTCACAAAACCATGTTCACAGCTGAATCCTACATTCTATCTCGCTGTCTCTTCATTATCATCATTCGACTTGCACAAGTCTCTCGTCAACAGACTGTATGTATAATCTCTCATATGTATTTATATCATAATATTTTCTTCCTCTTGTTCAATTTCTGTTCTCTGTGCCACATCATAATTTCATCCTTACTCAGTAGCAAAATAATTCTTTTCTACAAAATAACAGCTTGCATTCCACACAATTAAACTTAAATTTATCTTATCAACAGAGTATATCACCCCTATAAAGTTATTTTCTTACTTAAGATCCTCAAAATATACTCACTTCCAAATAATACACTGAAAGAATGGTCTGACAGGATTCTAAATAAACTGTAAGACAGAACCCAAAACATGCTAAAGAAGACCTTCAGAAACACAGGAGTTCTGTTCTGTAATACTAGTAACAGGCTACCCAGGCCTAATATCGCAAAGAAGGATGATACTGAGTCTTTCTGTAATACACTATGATAAAGGAAGTACAAAAATTCTAATAACTTTTACTGATGTAAGGGTCAATCTGTTACCTGCAGAACACATGAAGACATTCCCGCAGTACAACTCCCTCACCAGCCTCATACTGAACAATGCAGACTGAACATTCGAATGGCTCTACATTAGGGACCAAGTCTGTGTTATCTAGATCCACCAGCTGTAAGTAATGCTGATGCTGCTTCTCGGCATCCCGTTGTCTCTCTTCTGCAGTAATCTGCAACATGCATATAAATGCTACAAAGATGAATGTCAGTATTCAGTCCATCTATGTCAGACTCTAATAAAGCACACTGCATGATCTACAGACTGGATAAGAAATTGAATGCTTTATGATTCCTGTTTTACATTCTTTTTCTAATTTGGTTTAGTAAAAATTCCATTCTGGTACCTACTATGAAATCTATACTCAAGACACTTATTTTCAGATGTTTACTAATTTCTTAGAAAATTAAAATTGGTAAGTGAAGAAGGGAACAAACCTGTTGCAATTCATTGTCCACCTTTTGCTCCTGTTTCATACGCTGCAATTCCTGTTTATTTGCACGGTACTCCACTGGCACAATGTATCGTAAGGGCCTTTCAGTTGTACAAGCTGCACATCCAGGCCGTGTTGGTGAGTTGACAAGTGTGCAGACAGGGCATTTCCAACCTACACATATCACCACATGAGATAACTACTTACTGTGGATTCACAATCCCAAGAAAATTAAACAGGATCTGAGGTTTTCAGAGCAGTAAGTATGAAGATGGCTGTCTTCTGGGTTGTAGCACATGTAGTATGGTAGAAATTTACCAACATTTCAGAGGTCCTTGCTGCATTCCATCATCAAGGTGATGACCTGATGATGGAGGCAGCAAAGACCTCTGAAATGATGGTAAATATCTACCAGACTACATGTTGCTAGAACCCAAAAGACAGTCATCTTTCAAGAAAATTATTACCAACAGTACATGACAATTATCCAGCTCTATTGAACAGATGTATATGAAATTTAATCTTGGAAATCCATCCTAGATTTCACTGATGTGATTAAATCTTGATCTATGTTGCACAATACTGTCACTTCATTAGCAGGCCTAAATGTGGAATATGAAAAAGTTTCATGTCTTACTTTCCACGTTTTCACTTAATTAGTATTTCTTAACAAAATTCAACTCTAAAGTGAGACTTCTTAATCATGGTTTTGAACCAGGACTGTCACTTCACTTGAAGACCAAAAGTTTCTTGTGATTACCTTGGTTAAACTTCAGTACAACTTAAACAAATATTTAACAAAGTAGGGGAGGTATACATAGTGTAACAATTCTCATGCATTTATGCTGTCATTGCTTCTAGATTTTCAATTTGAGAATGTTTTCTCATTTGTAGTGAATGTATGTTTTGATGCAAAACATGACACATAACACGTGAATAGCACCACTGGTGTTGGAGTTGTGTGGAGTCAATTACCTTTACATGGGCAGGGAGTTTGTCACCTGTTTGGCTGATGATTACACATGTGGGCAGAGTAGGGGATCTCCATGTTACTTCAAAGAAAAGTTGGAATGAACATCTTACTCAGGGGTCTTGGTATTTGGATAAAGACAGTAATAATTTTGCAAGTTCCTGTACTAACAATGGTGCAAATAGTGAATCTGATAGGACTGAGCATATATGCGGAGAATTATTAAACCAGGATATCAGGATCATAATTACTGTAATTTAGTCATGATTTTGTCAATTGAGCAAAGTCTCTCAGTGAATTCTATAGCTGTTTTAAAATGTGGCATTCACATATGCTCTTCAACCAGACTGATCATATTAAGAAAGATGGCTAACTACAAAAGGGCCATAAACATTTTTACACTGAATATGCACTTTGCACAAAGTAATTCTTTAACTGTGTTGCTGTAAAACACACACACCTAACTTTGATTCATAAGTGAATAGTTTTCTGCCAGAGACTATGCATAATGTCATGTTTTCACATTTGTACCATTTTAATAATTATACTCAAATTCTGTTAACAACACGTTGCTATTTTGCTTGTCTACTGCATAAGCAGAAAAATGGAAGAATATAAAATCTCAAAACACTCTCACCAAATATGCAAACATAACATCAAATAACAGATGTCATACAATTGAAACAAATTTAAAAATCGTTCATCCTACCCAAAGCAAAGTGACAACATACATACGCATACTCCTCAGCACATGTACAATTTAACTGCATGTTACTAAAACAGAACTCACCAAGCCGGAGAGTCCCTGATTTCTGATCAGCAATCTCTTTCTCTGTCGGTGTTACTTCTAGAGACTGATAAACTTGATTTTTGCAAGGATTAGAATTTTTCTGTGGTCTCTGAAGCTGTGATGTTTGGCTTGAAGATGGTTTGTTTGGATGCTGACCCACTACTGTTTTCAGGAAATACGGAGCCTGTGTCATGAATGGTCTGCCAATGACTGGTGCTTGTAGCACTACTGGTTTTTCATGTATCACTACAGCTGCTGCACCAACTATTCCATCACCACCACCACCACCATCATCATCATAATCTTCTTCTTCTTCCTCCTCTGTTTCTTTTCTGCTGTCTTCAAGAACAATTTTATCTGGTTTATTAGCTTCCTTTACTGGATTTTCTTTTCTGTGAAATGCAATAAAAAGTATGTTTAATAATCACAGACTTCTTCTCCCCAAACATAACATTTAATTCTCATTTCAATAACTTCATTACTGAAGACTATAAAGACATTATTTGTGCATTATAAATCCTCACTCCTGCTTCATATTTTTGAAGTCCTAGATTTAAATGTCAGCCCACAAAACAGTTATGATTGAAGTTTTCAGGGTTGTATTCAGATCCTCCAGGCAAATGCCATGACTGCTTCTTTCCACATCCTTTCCAATTCATAATGTGTAAATTATCCTATCATTCAGAACTACATAATCTAAGAAATTGAAAGTGTAGTTAAATAAACCAACAATTATGTCAATTAAGTAAAGATGAAGGCATAGCTCAACATTCTGAGGAAGCCCACAAAGAAGTAATATAAAGTAATTAAACATATATACAAAATTCTCTCTTACTTGAATTCACTTTCTTCATCATCTGTCATTTCTGACTCAGTATCCTCACAAAAACTGTACCGATCTTCTTCATTGTTGTAATACCAGCCTCCAGGCTGCTCAGGCAGTGGTGGTGGACCAGGAACTTTAGCAACAACTTCACATGCATTGTGCTTCTCTATGCTACCAGCTGTGCCTATGGCATCTCCTTCCTGCTCACCATCTTCACAAAGAATCAACAGACAATTATAATTTGCCTTGTATTTTACGTAGATCAATTAATTTCAAGAGAGATCAAGTAAATTTCCATTCCTCATTCGCTTACTATCGCATAATACAAGGAAAATGCCTGACACACTAAAATATTTAATTTAGGCTGCTGAATTATGTAAGTTCACAGTGTGCACAAAACATAAGATGGAAGAAATACTGCTCACCAGGTGCAACCAAATAAAGGAACATTGGACAGCCATTGGAATTTACATTGTGATCCTGCAGCATTTTAGTGTCATCTGAAGCCAGCAGCTTTCCAAGAATCCAGCGCTGAACTCCAACTGGAATCTCAAATTCCTCTTCAACTTTTTCTTTCAACTGAGCAACTGTCATGGTGGGAATCACTTGCAGAGAGATGGGTCCTTGGTGTGACACTTTATCCTCCACATACATATCAACCCTGTTGAAATGACAATGACATATCAATATGATAAGTTAGAACAAATCAAGTTTGATGATTGAAACAATATGAATCGTTTAAAAAAATATGATCTGTAGATGCAGTCTGAGTATTGGAATACAATAAATTCTAGTGACTAAAAGGATCATGACTATATCTTAAATCAACAATTCTTGTCTTTAAGAATTTTTCTGCCAGAGTTGAATGCATAACTCTGGCTTTCAGGGATCAGTTATGTCACAAATTGAAGCAATTCCAATTGCAATTACCATCTTCATGGTGAATGAGTTACACCTCTGGCTGAACAATGGGCTGCTATCTAATAATTTAGGAAAATTTGAATAACAGGTAAAAGAGGAAGGACATGAACTCAGTTTGCTCTATATCCATCTAAAGGGTTGATGTTCAGTTAGTGCTCAATGGGAAAAATCCTGTATGTAAGTAAAAGGACTAGAGAAAATGAGGTGAAGCCACTGATATAATAAAACACCCCCAGAACTTAAACTGTGAACACAGATGAAGTCTATGCAAAGCTTTTCCTATAGACATTCTAGTTAACTGAAGGACCATTCCCAATTAATATCCGCTGAATGCCAAATGTGTAGATAAACATAGTCTGAGGAAGGTAGGTTTCACATCTTCTGCTTCTTCATTTATTATATTTCCTCTGAATTACGGAACCTACAAACTGGACAGAACCTCGCTCATCTTGTATTTGCCAAATCATGTCACTCATCTCCCACTCAACTCCTATTGCCAGATCCATGTAAGGGCTCCCTTTCTCTTCTACACATATTCACCTTAAAAAGGGCAATTTCTATGAAGATCGGTGTCCCAGAAGACAGCCATTTTCATACTCAATGCTGTGAGAACCTAAAATCCTACATGACGATTACTATGCTTGTTGAAACACCTATAACATAAGATGCAGCCAATCCCTGAAAACTAAAATTATACATCTTAAATCTGGTTATTCTTTCATTTCCAAAAGATAAAAAATGCTGCATGTAAACAATGTGTCAATATTGCCAATACCATTGTTGGTTAATGACACAGTATTTTGGTGAGCTGGTTTGTCCCCATTTTTAAGAATATGGTTGTCATCATCTTTAAAGTAATGAATTTGTACTGACATTTGAATTCCAGGCTACAAAGTAGTGAAGAATTCATTAACCCAATTGGTGAAAATTTGCTGCTTTACGTCTGATAGTGACCTTAGTACTGCAAATACATACACGTAGCTGACTATCAAAGGTTTATGGTGTCTCTGATAGATGGGAAATAAGTCTGGATAAACACAGTTAACAGAAAAAAATGCTTTTTGAAGATCAGTTTCAGTGAAAAATTGCCCAAATGTAGCAAGTGTGTGAGACTCACAAAATAGAAGCTGGACCAGCATCCAAGCTACGACGCTGTCGAGTCACAGAGCAGTTTATCTTCAGCCGAGCAAGGTCCTTAGCTAACACTGCTGCCTGGTTATGCTGTCCACCAGCAATAGCTGCCTCAAGACGACGCAGTAAACGATTAATAGCAAGGGTATTCATGTTCTGCTGTGGAAGTGCTGCTTGCAGATCCGCTGCAGAAAGAATATCATGACTACATGTCAATGTTTATAGCTATAGAGACTGGAGGAACAAACCTGAATTTTTACCACAGTAATCCTTGCATATTTGTACAGACAATCTCTGCTATATATTTAGTGTTAAAAGTAATTATTAATATCACTGCTACTGCTTATTACAAAATAAATTTATGTACCTAAAGGGCAAGCTATACCTAATGAGTTCAAGAAAGGAAAGTATAAATAACGACGTCAGAGTTATTCTAAAACTGAAATAAACAGACATTATTTGACCATGAGTCAAACACATCGAGTAACTGAGTAACACAGACAAAGCAAGTTATCACATTAATATGTTGTGGTAGATCTATGTTAGGAAAGCCATACTGAGAGGAATTTATCTCAGTCTTGATGAAATGATGAGATTAAACATTTCTGTAAATGATTAAGGCCTGCAACTAGTTTCACCTTTATCATCATCATCATCCTCACATTATACCACCAGCAACAAAATAATTAAATCTCTTATTTATAAATCACAAATGACACATGAATACAGAGTTGTACCAACCTTTGAAGTCTGCTATTCCCTTGGGGAGTGTGAGCTGTGCAGTTAGCCTTTCAACCTCACTGCAATCACTACTGCTGACACTTGTCACTGAGAAATTGCTCATTTCAGATGCTGCTTGATTCATGTGAATAGGTCCTCCTTGGTTGGAATCTGAATTTGCAGAAATAACACTAGATGTGGCATCAAACAATGCAACACCTTGATTCTCTTGATTGTTCTTCTTTTCATTCTGTGTGATTTCTTCAGTTTCACTAACATTCCTTTTGTTTCCACTACACTGCTGGACCAAAGCTGGTACTGGCTGCTGAGAAGGGAAAACAGGCTGAGTAACACATCCAGAGACAAAGTGAGAGTTCTGTTCTGGGAGGGAAGATGGAGGAACATTGGCATAGACATGGACAGCACTCGATTCACCACAAATTTTTGTTGCCTCAATATTCGCAAAATCCCTTGCATGGATTAATTCAAATGTTCCTTTGCCGATGCGCCGTGACTCCTTGTTTAAGGATGTATAAAGAACACCATCTTTTATCCCAGTAGTTGAAAATTCCTCCACTGTCACAGGCACCAAGTCTGAATTCTTTGACCTTTCTCCTTTTTCTGCTTCAGCCTTTTCCATGATGGAACTTGTTTGTACAGACGTTGATACCTTCATAGGTTTAACAGCCTTCTTCACTTTAATATCCTCATATACTGTCTTGCTTGTAATGAGAATGGCCTCTGCTTTACTGTTTTCTTCCTTAATGCCATTTGGAAGTTTCAGTTTACCTTCTTGCTTAAATCTAGTACCTGATGTATTATTAATAATTTTAGATTCATATTTTGATATCTTCTGTGGATCTTTCTTAATTGCACCAAGTTTATGTGCATCATTTACAAGTTTTGATTCAATATTATCATGTTCACTTGATGTTAAACTATTCCCAACATCTAAATTTTTACTCATACCAATACTATTTGTGGATCTAACGGGTCTCTTAGGAAGGGAATTTTTCATTTCTTTTAGCATTTCCCTAAGTTTAAATTGTTCATTTCCATCTACCTGATTTTTCATAGTCACCAATTCACTACTGACTTCATCACATACTTTTTGTTCTATGTTTGGTACAGTAGTTAACACAGAATTTTCATCACTGAAAATCAAGTCATCATTTGTTTCAGTTGTTCGATTAAAAAATGCAAGTCTAGCTTTCCTCACTTCATCCACATCAGGTCTTTCAATTACTGGTCCTGCACCATTCACTGTTACAGTACAAGAAATTACTTCTGCATCTTTGTTGAAGTTCTCTTTACCCTGTTTTAAGTCTCCTGAAAATAAAGACGGCGAAGTTATGGTTTTATTTTTGCTTGTGAGCAACTCTTCACATTTTGTCTTTCCAGTATAATTTTCAAGTACTGCTCCATTCTGGTTAATAGTGCTTGAATTTATCTGTACACCATCGACAGAAACTCTTGCAATGTTCTCTGTTCCAAGATGATCTTTATCTTCAATGGGCTGCTTGGAAACATGTTTATTATTTCTAACAGCTTTCAATTCATTGTTGGGTAAATATCGCTTCAACTCTTCTTCCCAATTAATTCCCTTCCCTTTCTTTGATAATTCCATTTTTATAAGTTGAACTTTGTTTGCTGGTATCTTAGTGTCATGCAATGGTGATGTGGGTCGTTGAAATGGCTCATCACATTTTGATACATCTGGCTTCTCATCTGGAACAGAGGGCCTCCACCTACCACAGGCATCACAAGTGATTTTCCAACGTGGATTCTCCAGGGTGCATCTAGTACAGCTCCATACTGTCACCTGTTTTGCATGTTGCAAATCATCTGAAGTGTTAGTCACAGGAATGTTGTCACTGCCATGATTATTACTACCTGGGTGTGCATCCAGAGTAGAAGCTGGTGTTGTGGCTACGGAACTTGCAGATTCTGACTGTTCAGCAATAGTGGGAATACTTGGACTGGGAGAATGGTGTCGATGAGATTTGTTAGCTTCATACATCACTCTAGATCGAGACGATTTATCAAGATCATCCTTAATTTCTTCTATAGTAATGTCTGATGCTAAATCTGAAGTTACAGTCATTCTGGTTGAATCAGCCAAGTTTCTGCATTTATCTTCATCAGGGAAAATCCTTGATGAGCTGTTAGATTGTATGACAAATGACTGGTTTTCTTGCTGCTGTTGAAATGTTTTTTCACCAATCACAACTCTTTGTTCATTAGTACGTACACTTTCTCCCATAAAAGAAAACCTCTTTTCAATACCTTCTCTTGAGAAGAAGCTAGAGCCTTCTTTTGAAAAGAAAGTGGAGTTGACAGTGACTTTGGTAACATTACCAATTGCATTAAAGAGAGATATAAGTTCACGAGCAGAGCTACGCTTTGGTACTTCCACTTCGTCACTCAAACCATCCATTACTGGTACATCAGGATAGGAGTAGAACTTTGCATCATGAGCAGCCAAGAGTGCTTGCTCCCGTGCTTGCTCTTTTTGAACAATTTCTGCAGCTTCCCTATCTAACTCACTGATGTTGGCCAGCATCGAAACCTGTGACTTACGCTTCTCAACCTCCTTTTTCTTGTCATCACTCCTTTCAAGTCTAGCAAAAATGTTAAACCTGCTGTTAGTACTGCTGCAACTGCTACCATCATTAGACAGACCATTTCCTATAACTCTGGGAATGCCCACTTCAGGCATCCACTCTTCATGCTTTTCCTTTTCTCTGTCCTTCTTCTTTTCTAGACTCTTGAAAATATCTCTCTTGAGTCCACTTAACCCATCCTTGTTTGTAAGGCTTCTTTTATACCAGGGCCTAGGTGACACTGGCACTACTTTACTTTCTGAAGTGACAGTATCCAACTTTGGCAACTCTTTGTTTTGTTTCAGAACTCCTCTCTCCAACTTGAGTGAGTCATTACATACAACTTGTTCACTAGAGAATCTTGAATCTGAATCCATGTCTATACAGCTCTTGGTCTTCTTATCAGCATGAGCCTTCAACTTAGCTATATTTGCAATAAGGCGCTCTTTTTCTTCAGGAGAGAGTTGTCCAACAGTTGATTTGCTTCGTTCTTGATATGAGTGAGAGGCCTGATGTTCCTTGTTATCTCTCTTCTTAAAACTTTCTTCTGGAGGTTGTGGTGCAGGTCTCTTCTTTCTTCCAAAACTTCCAAACTGACTGCGGAACCTATCTAAGGTGCTGCCACCTTGCTGCTCTAAATTACTGACTGGCAACGGTGGTTGTGGAGCTCTACGCTTTCCCTTGACGTGACAGTAAGCACCAGCTTTCCTATCCTTTGATGAATCACTAACAGTTCTCCTGTGCCGTGGCTTTCTCACTGCTACTGGATCCCCATTGTCCATACTCTTACTCTTAGACCTACATTTATCTAATGAATTTGGGAGACTATCACTAAACTCAGCTCTAGGTGGATCTGGGGCTTTGCGTTTCTTTTTCCCGAATGTTGAATTTTGGCTTCCTGGAGTCAAATTGTGAATTTGTATCTCCTGATCTGTTGTATCCTTATTCTTCCTCTCTATCACAGGACTAGGGTTAGGGGTATTCACACCACTCTTCACTAATGTTCCACTCCCAAATAGATGGTACTTCTTCCTCAAGGTGAGATTCCTGTCAAGTTCTCTTATCTGGTCTCTCTGATGTAGTCTATGCCTGTAAGTATCAGTATCAGGGCCAACTGCTATTTGTTTCTCTGGCTGACTGGCAGTACCAAAAGGTCTGTATGATGTGGGTGCTACAAAAGCAAAACTGTTAACAGTGGCAGTGCTAAAAAGTGTATCTATGCTACCACAACTGGAGCTTGTGGTACGGATTAGTTGAGGCGATGATGGAACTGTTGGGTCAGCCAGTCCTTTAATAAATTCTCCATTTTCATCTGCCTCACAGTTATCATTATCATCCTTTCCTTTCCGGAACCAACGCAAGAATGAAAAGAAGCCACTAGCAGTCTTTTCTTGACGAGATCCAGAATCAGTATTTGATGCTAAACTAGGATTCTCAGTGAAATTTTGCACAAACTGATTAGAATGTATATTGTCTATACTAGCTGCTGCATCTTCATAAGAAGAATCATCATCCTGCATATCACATCTTGTCTGTACACTAAACTCATTCATGCTTTCAATCTGCACATCACCATGATTAGGTGTTGTAACTTCTATGCGCTTACATGAGTTTTCTTGAATTATTCTGATCTGATGACTTTCTAGCACATGGCACTGCTCATTAACACCGACATCAACTGGTACATTTAATTTATTTTCACAACCTATTAAATCAGTTTTTTCATCTTTGGCATCAAACCATTGATAATCACTGTAGTCTCCTGATCTACAGCTTTCAAGAGTGTTAAAATCATTCGATAATGATTTCAGAGTACCGAAATTGTTGTAAGATTTAAGACTAGGAAAATCATGTGAATATCTAAGCGTACCAATACCATTTGAGGAAGATCTAAGAGTATGAAAATCACCTGAAGAGGATATGATAGTGCTGATATCATTCAAAGATGTTACTAGTGATTTTAAGTTTTCCCTGTTCGACTCATTAATTTTTGGTAAAAGATTGATCACTTCACTTTTCACTTTTCGCTTTGGTGCCTTTGGCTGTTGTGATGGCAGACGAGTGTCATGAGCATGGACTTGATGCTGATGCTTCCTTCTTCTGACAGCAGGTCGTGGCCCTTCACTAGTCACAAGCTGAAATGAGACCACACCACACGTAAACACGTTGTGGCCATGGTGAGTGAAACAACACAGTAAAGATTAATATCAACAATCCCCAAGCAGGGAACACAAGTAGATATTAAACTATCCTCCATCAGATGCAGACATTCACTCAATGCTCAGCCCAACTTGGCTTCAGTTTCATCCAGATGGTAAATTTTGCAATGTCTTCTTCCTTAATGTGTTACATCTGAATATAAATCCAGTCCATGTCTTCTCTTATTGAAAGGTACAGAATAACAATGCAAAGGGTTACTATTAAAGATGATTATGAGCTTACTACAAAGTACAAGGATAGTTACCTACTTCTACTCCATTAACAACATAATGTATTAATCTCTTTGGAAGCAACATATAAACAGCACACACGCTTTGGGAAAAGAGACAAAGGATCAAGACATCAGGTTCAAAGTTTGCAGGAATTTTTCTTCTCATTAATCAAATGTATTGAATCAAATATTTTCTGCAAAAGTATGATTCCCTGGAATAGCCTGCAACTTTAAAAACATCAATACACAATATTTAACAAGCTCTTGGGGAAAAGTAAAACCTGTAGCAATACACCATTTTCAAAATGTTTCAGTAATAAAATTTGTTAGAATCTGCATGTACTGTAATATTCTAGGCCAGAAACAAGCTTTTCTCACAATCCTTGAGTTTTCCCAGCCAATATCACTCCACTGTTTCTCTTTTTTTTACCCATGTATCATCTGTGGGATGGCCGATAGGCCTGTCAGTGGCTCAGTTATACAGAGACATTGTCCCACCCATTGCAACAATAACAATGTTTCTTCAAAATGTTGGCAACAACATACAAGTCCTCACAGCATCACAACCCTGAAGACCAACATGAACAACATGTAACAATATAATCCAGGTTACAAAGTGTTTGTAATATCAGCCATGAATCCATTAGAGCTGACACCATCTGACAGCCTATGATAAGGGACATCAGATGCAGAACGTAATTTGACAATTTAAAACTTCTATCTTCTATATTTTTATAACAGAAAATATATATTGAGACAATAATTTAATTTAGTAAACATGGTCAAAATTTGTTGCATTCAAATGCTCCTTTCATACAAGTGATGATCTGCAAATTAAATATTTATAAGTATTCATTCTTATTATTCATACACAAAATTGCCTACAGACAAAACTGTATTTCCATTTGGTCATTATTATTTTTTTTATTATTATTAGTGTTCTGTCTGACGACAGGTCATATATTATGAACAGGATCCTTCCATCCTCTTCAGGTTGTCAGGGACCTACTCATACTTACGTATATACATTCTTCTGTGTGTGAGTGGAGTAATTGTTGGGATGCCACAGAGAAACTGGGGAAGCCCCCGGAGGAAAACTCCGTGATGCCTAGACCACGGCCTTGCCCAACACAAGTTATAAATCTGAGCACCACCGGGAATTGAACCTGGGACCCCATGATTACAAGGCTAGTGTTCTGACTGCTAGACTACCGTGGCCATTTGGTCATACGTAATTTTAATTTTCACACCACATAAAATAATAACCTGTGTGTGTGTAATACAGTTTCATGTCAGATGCATGTATCCCACTTTATGTTGTAGAAGTGATTACAAATAAAAATTCTGACCTGATTATATCACACACATATATTTTCTAGGAATAATAATGTACATGCAATTTTCTTTTCCAGTGCTACTATTCTTTATAGATTATTAACACATTATTTAACCAAACTAGTTAGGAAGTAACTGTTAGTTTGGAGTTCAGTCACTATAATCTGATCATAATGATCTTGCTTCTCAGCAAACTAAGAATCATCCTATTTCTTTCACATAACTACATTGAAATTGCTGTAACAAATCAAATATCAGTACCAATGCCACCTGCCACCTCACAAAACAACAGGGAGTGGTGATGTGCAATACAATTTTACACTGGTTTTTTCCTTCTGTATTTGTCAATGATTACTTTCATGTTAATTTACAGTTTGTTTATAAGTTTTACTACTGTTATCAGTTGTACTTATAAATGTAATGAATGATGGAGTTATTCTGCTTTTGGTATCTTCCATAATTAAAAATTTTCTTTTATCGTCAATTAAAAATTTGTTTATGCGCACTCTTCACATTTTCTGTCAATGTACTTACATATCAAACTAAAACCTAGAATTTTTCTGATTTTCTAGTTATCCCAGTTCCTTCTTACACAGTACTATAGAACTGAGCATAAGCCAAACCATTTCCTTTATAGTACCAGAATGATTCCTACACTTACCATTGTTAGTCATGTAACATCTTAAATTACTTATGTGCAAATACATGGTTAACTGAAATGGACAAAATCATTTAAAAAAGGAAGCTCATAAATTGTTTAAAAATATAATAATAATAATAATAATAATAATAATCTGTGGTCTAACAGCCCTCTGAGAACCAAAGCCGACTGGCTGGCCTCACGTTCACATGCACATGAATGAACATCCAACCAGATATAGGGTGACGTGTGGTCAGCACGACGAATCCCCCAGCCATTGCTAGTTTTCATGACTGGATTACGCTACCCAGTGTAGCTCCCCAATTTCCTCACGATGCTGGGTTGGCACTGGTCACATACACCAGTCGAAAATCTCATGAGAAGTTTCTTTCCCCGAGACTCGAACCAGAGCGCATTCCGTATCACCGGTCCGAAGCATGATGCCTCAGACCATGTGGCTATGGCGTGGGACTGTTTAAAAATATGCAAAGCTCAAATACTTGAGGGCAATGATATTAAATTAAGAGTGGATTAAATTCAAAGAACCCTTGTTACCATGTAGTTCAAAACTTTTGTCTTCCCACCTGCTACCTAGAAACATAGGATTAAGACACATAAAACTACAATTTTATCTACTGTTTTGAAAATTTCTACTCTTTACCAAAAATACGATGGCTTTCTGTATAATTTCTACTATTCTCCACATATTACTAGGATGACTGAATCAAGGAGGATGAGATGGGTGGGACATGTGGCATGCACGGGGGGATTACAAAAATATACAAAACTTTGGTTAGAAAGTCTGTAGGTAAGAGACCACTCAGAAGACCTACGCATAGATGAGAGGTTAACATTAAAATGGATCTCAGGGAAACAGATTTAGAAGGTGTGGATCAGATTCATCTAGTTCAAGACAGGGATTGACAACAGGGTCTTGTGAACATGGTAATGATCCTTCAGGTTCCACAAAGGAAGGAGCTACTTATTTACTTGCTGAAAATACTCTTAGCTACTCCATGAAGTTAGCCAGTTAAACATATAGCTATGAACCCTAGGTTTACAACATTTATCTGTACCGAAAGATTACTGATAGCATTTTTAATGACACAAACAATTCTTCCCTAAAAATAAACTCCAACAAAGAAACTAATTACCAGCAACTGTTATTAGCGTTAAAGTCGGTGGTTCTCAAACTCCATCACCAAAAAAATAATTTTCTCAAAAAATCAGGATATACCAATTATCTAAAATAAAACTTTTCTCAAGAATCTCTCTGACTTGAATTTTCTCATCATTATTGCCTCCCACCTAATCAGACCGTTCAGTTAACACAACTAAACATGTACATGGTACTTTACAAATTAAGGATGCATCTGACACTATAAAAAGATTAAAACCAACTCCCTTCATATTATAAACACAAGAAATATCTTCTAATAATATAGGGGCATGCCTTGGAGTCTCAAGCTTAAGACTATAACTCACTCGCCAATGATATCCTTGAACAAAGGATCTTAAAAATACTTGACTGGATGTTGCCAGAAAATGTATTTCAGTACAGCAGTTTCAAAACATATTTACCAAAATAAGGGAGAAAAAAGCCTCTCCCTGACAGCGAGTATATATCTATTCCCACAAGTTCACCATTACATTATACTATGACGAAATGTCCCATGTCTATACCTAAAAGTGCACTAGGGATACAGTTATCTGTAGGAACGGAGTACAGAAGAATGTAAATTACAAACAACTACAAATTCTTACAGAAAGAAACAAACATAATAAAATATAAAATAAACAATCAACAGAATTGCCAGCAACTGTCAACATAATAGATTTAGACCAGAGTTGTAGTCTTCATCTCTATTCCCTGCCCTCGCATAATACATATTAATTTTGCAAATTTTCCACAAATTAAAAACAGCACACAAGATCATGCATCTAAGGGGTTAGTAAACTAGAGTTGGAACCACTGCTTCAAATGAAAAATTACTACAAATGTACAGACAATGCCATGTATTCTACTGTAACTCACATTACAAATGATGGTTCAGTGTTTCTTGCACTACAAAGTGCATGCCAAAGTGTAACCTGGTATGTTGAAAACATGGTGTAGAAGAAATTTATGAAGGTATATGAACATGAATAGTACCTCTCTTTCATTTTGCAGTCTTTTAATCCATCTGTATCTTGCAAAGATCAATCTCGGACTTCCATCTGCTCACATACACCTTGGTTCCAAGTCAGGCAAACCAAAACTAAAACTCAATAAAAGCAAACCACTCTACAATAGTACTGTACTGCAGATCTACAGCGACTTAGATAACCATGTTGGAACAAATGCATAATATTCTGGGGCTCCCATTATAAGGTGATAAGAAGTTATAGTAACTTGTAAAGGAAAAGCCTTTGTCTAAAACTGTGCATTCTATAAGAACTCGAAAGTAAATACAAATGCACCGTGAACATCTGGAGTTTTAAAAGCTGATGAACAGGAAAACACATCTTATTTAACTTAAAAGAATATATTGACTGTAAAGAGCCTTACCTAAAAATGCCAATGGTGGAGAAATGAATCCTTCATTTTAAACTGTACCATGTATGACCATGCATATTTCATTTTCTAAATTCAATAAAGACATGGGCTTTATCTTTGGAATCTGCTTACATATGAAGGAATATATTCATCAAATTTCCTTAACTGCATTGTTTTGAATACTGGCACCATAAGTACTATACCTCCACAAAGTAAAAATGTCCCTATGTAATTACAGCATCAGATTTCAATCAGAACTGTAATGCTGGCTATGTTTGTACATTTTACTTAACAATAGTTAGCCACATAGGTTGTTTTCAAATCACAAAAGTTAATCTGAGCAACAAATGCTACTTCATTCCCATTACTTACACAAGGCTCTACCAACAGATAAGTTAAGCAAGGAATTAAAATTAGTCCTTTTAATTCATGACATAAAAATTAGTTTCCCTGAACAATCTTCTGAATATTGTAGAGTAATGACACATCCTTACAGCATGCAAACACTAAACAACAACAGCATGTCGTTCACTCACCTCACTGATAGATAATACAGGTGTGGGAAATACTTGCAGCTTAGGTAAACTAGCTGGAGGCCCAGGAGGAACTTTTGGAAAAAGTTCATTATCCCTTCTGCCATACTCCAAATTGTTCTCTGAAAGTGTGCAAGAGTAATTATATTGAGTAGTTGATTACCATCAGCCAGGTAGATTATAAAACAGTTCTTGTCCTTTGGTTTTCATGACTGGAGATAAATGTAAAACTCTGACTTTCACTGATGAACCACATTGAATATTATAAGTTTTTCTGAAAACATTGCAATTGCCATTTTCAGGATGAATGTGTATTGGGGGTTTCAGGTAGCCCTACATACAGCAGCCATAAATTTGCTGCTTGAGGTTCCAGGTAAGATAAAATGCCTCCATACATTTGAGTACTTAACAATACTGTTATTTCATTTATACACATTCCTACATAACTTTGTGTTCCACCACAACCACTTGCAAGACTACATGGCACAGAACAGAGCTGAGAAGACCAGAACTGACTCTTTCATTAAAATTATTAGAATCATGCAACTATTGGCATGGCAGTAACTCCCCCGTCCACTTCACAGTATTTCCCACAAAGCGCCAACAAATGTCTGACAAATTTAATGTTCCATGGACTACAAAAAGAGTGCAAAACACTGTACTACACATGCACTACATTGTGCATTTACATGCAGAATTTTATACAATTTTCTGAAACTGGGTGACACAATGCCTTCAATGTTTGCCCAATAAGTATATTTTGATATCTAAGTTTCTTGTGGTCATTTATGTAAGTATTTATGTTATCAATAACGTTTAAAACTGTTACAAAAACTGGCGACTAGGTGTGCAGCTATTAATTTCTCTGGGAGAGCTATTCCATAGAGGTAGCTAGTTATAGCATCTGCTTTATACAGTCCACATTCTGTAACATGAAAACATTGTTCATGTGATTACTTGCCAGAAAATCCATGAAATATCAATCAACTGAACGTTTAAACCACTGTTTTAAGTTGTTGATAACTAACCCACATTTCCAAACAGTTAAAGGGATCTGACAAAATGCTCCTCCTATGGGTCCCTCCTACATAATTATTTATTCGCAAAGGATCCTAACTGTAAACTCTTTTTTGAACTCAGAATACATGACACCACAGTTCTTGCTTTCAAATAATTGCTTGAATACCCATATAACACTGAAAACTGAAACTTCAGGAGCACAGCATTCACGCTATTGTCTTATTTCGTGGTTAACTGGTACTCCATACAATAGAACACAGCAGAACCGATCAGATAAAATGCATAGTTAGCCACGCTTTGTTACCGTTGTTAAGCTTGCAGCGAGCGTCAGCTTCAACTAACTGGCTAACAATGCAGATCTGGCTGGGAATAGCTAACGATGGATTTCGTGTGATCGGTTCTGCTGTGTTCCAGTGTATGGAGCACTACTGAACCACGAAAATAAAACTAAACTATTTTTTTTTTCGTTTTTCCAAGCGTTAGCCGGGCGGACATGGTTAATATGAACCCTCTACCCATGCTGAAGTGTCTAGCACATCAGTTCAAAGAAAGAGTACGCTTTCGTTTGCTGGGACACGATTTCAATTACATATGTGAAACTGTGAGGCGTTAAACTAAAAAGACAAACAGAAACACTCACTCTCTGTGTGTGTGTGTGGGGGGGGGGGGGGGGGTACGTTACCACTGCTTGAAAACCGTAGCGAAAGCAAGTCACTTCTCGACCTCGAAAGAAAACCCGAGATGTAACTTGGTGGCACACCAAACAAGTGACTTCAACCCCCTACAAAAAGAGGAGGGAGGCTGACAAACACAAGCACACATAACGAATGCAGTCTTGCTGAAATTTAACGTGGCAGCTAATAATTACAAGAGTACAGAATAAGTAGCTCTTCTTTATGCAAATTTTATAACAACCAGAAAGAAAACAGACATTC